CAAGGACCAAAATAGTTTTTCTTGTTTCTGCACAGAAAAGACGATAGTCTATCTTTAAGAGAATGTGAGCCAATGCTCGTTAGACTAACGTTAGACTAACGTTAGACTTAAGTTAGACTAAAGTTAGACTAACATTATAATCTGACATTATAGTGACCAAAAAATGTCGTTAGCCTAACGTTAGTCTAACTTTAATTAACGTTAACTTTTCCAAATACAATCTGGATAGTTGTCTGTAGCACTAAAGATGGTTACGGATACAATCCAGTACAATGCTTACCCTGTACAATATACATACTTTTCTCTCATAAAGTCCTATTTTAAATTCAATTCTAAATAGTGCAAAGTAAAATTTCTTCACGGGATCTGAAATTAAACTATATTTCATTAACCAATTTCATATATTGGAATCTATAAATTTTTCTAATAATGTGCGACAAAAATGTGTTTGCATACATCGTCATAACTAACGTTTACGCTGCAAAAGTATACTTATAGTGGCATACACACTTTGAAGCTCGAGCTGTTTACCTTTTATTAAAGTCTTGTTAAACGCTACAACTACTGCCTTTCTTATTTCTCTGCACACTCCATTGAATCGGCAAAAGAGCGAAAATAATACCTATCCGGCTTTAGAGGCGGATCACCGCACCACACTGGCTCGGCATGGCACTACATCGGTTTATGGCCGCACGTCTCAGAAAGTTGAAATACACCCGGTTACACTACTATACATGTGTAATCGCTTCTTTATTCTCCTCCGTCTATTATACACATTTTCTTCTCAATATATAAATACACAAGAATTTACCAGTAAATACATACATTTACAAATATATATATATACCAACATTCCCCAAAAACTACAATAAAATTCAGATATAAACAGAATTAGTAAACAATCATTTATGTTTATTGTATGCATTCTCATTCGAGTCTTTTTTCGATTATTGGTGTAAAATATAAAGATGTTTAAATTTATTTGTTTAGCCCTTAGGCCAAACAAATGAATTTTAAACATCTTTTATTTGTGACTTACAAAAATTTTTGAATTTACTGGTAACTTAATGTCTTGATAGTGTAAAATTGCGACGAATTGATACCGAAAATATGGGTCAAAGTAAAAATTGGTCCAAATTTTTGGCATCAATTCGATCCACTCGGATCCATTATATAATTTTAGTTTCATCTTCTATACCGATTCTTTCGGATTCTTTGTTGATTTCTTCCTTAAGTCAAAGTTGATTAAAATAACCTATTTTTTCTGAAAAAGTTTATTTAAATCGAAAAATGGAAACATGTCTTTGAATTAAATCATGATTCGAATGGTTCGTTCATGACTAAAATCATATCATGAATTAAATCATGATTCGAATGGTTCAGTCATGATTAAAATCATAACATTAGTTAAATCATAATTCGAATGGTTCAGTCATGATTAAAATCATATCATGATTCGAATGGTTCAATCATGATTAAAATCATATCATGAATTAAATCATGATTCGAATGGTTCAGTCATGATTAAAATCATATCATGATTCGAATGGTTCAATCATGATTAAAATCATATCATGAATTAAATCATGATTCGAATGGTTCAGTCATGATTAAAATCATATCATGATTCGAATGGTTCAATCATAACTAAAATCATATCATGAATTAAATCATGATTCGAATGATTCAGTCATGATTAAAATCATAACATTAGTTAAATCATGATTCGAATGGTTCAGTCATGATTAAAATCATATCATGATTCGAATGGTTCAATCATGATTAAAATCATATCATGAATTAAATCATGATTCGAATGGTTCGTTCATGATTAAAATCATATCACGAGTTAAATCATGATTCGAATGGTTCAGTCATGATTAAAATCATAACATTAGTTAAATCATGATTCGAATGGTTCAATCATAACTAAAATCATATCATGACTTAAATCATAATTCGAATGGTTCAATCATGATTAAAATCATATCATAAGTTAAATCATAATTTATACTTGATATTGATTCCAAATTATTAATTTCAAGTATAACTGAGATTAATATACTGTCATATAAATGAGTATCTATAGTTGATGTAATTATTAAGTATAATCCCATAAACTAATATAACAATAGATAACAAAAGTGATAGAAATGTGTGTATAACTATGAAAAAGAAAATCCCTTTCGTTCATATAATATGTATCGCTTTCAAACCTCCTGCGAGGATCCAGGAAAAGGCTCAAGCAATGAAAATATTTGGATATTTTTAAAAAGGCTTTTCAAACCAAAACTCTGTTTCATTGTGTCTTATAAAGCATTCAAAAAAAAAAAAAAAAAAAATCTGTGCGAATTTTCACCCTCGTCGTCGGTATATAGCTTTAATGTTAATATCAATAATTTTCCCAGAAATCCTTTCACGCTAATTCTCTTTTTAAAAAGATTCATTGACATTTTCATTTTTAAAAGTAAAATGCTTATACACAAAAAGTCTGACTTGCCAGATTTCACATGAGTGCATCCACTATTATATGAAGAACATTGAAATTTTATTGTTATTATTTTCTACGTTGACTATATAGCAAAATAGATATAGATACTTTTCTTTAACTTTAACTTTTTCCTTTAACATTTTATTAAGAAATATCTATAAACCCGTCAATCCGGAACTTTTGGTTAATAAAAAACAAAATCTGTTTTTTATATTCCTCACCAAAAATCCAGAACCTTGGATATTATGATTTTTTTTGACTTTTTTCCACTTATTTTCCAAAATTGCGACTTTTTTTTTTGCTTTTCTTCCAAATATTAAAACAAAATACATACCCCATTTTTTTTTAGTATAAATTGCAAATTATTTCGATTTTTCTAATGTGAAAAAATAACTATAAATCAAAAATTATTTTTGAATCATTTTTTAAAATAAGTTTTCGAAATATACAATTAAAGAGATTTGGAATAATTGAAATTTTGTAAAATTTAATTCAAAATACCTAATTGATTTTTTTCAAGTATTATTATTACAATGTTTGAAAATCAACTTTTGACGAAAAATTGAAAATTTTGTGAAAATAATTGAATTCTCAAAAAAAAAAATTTAATGAAAATTATTTTTCAAAGATTTTGTCCAATTTTCAATTATTTTTAAATGATTTTATCAATATTCAATTATTTTCAAGAAAATTTTATCAAATTTCAATTATTTTTAAAAATAATAAAATTTCTCACAGAAATTCAATTCTTCTTAAACATTTTAATAACATTTTTCGCAATAATTCAATTATTTTCATAAACAATAAAATTCTTTTCAGGAATTCAATTATTTAAATTAGAATTTGCATGAAATTAGTCGAAAGAAATTAATTATTTAAATTTTTTATACAAAATTTCTCGATAAAATCAAATATTCAAAAAGTGTTTTTTTTAAATACTTTGGAAGAATTCAATTAACAAAAATATTAAAATTTTTCACAGGAATTCAATTATTTTCAAATAATTGAAAAAAAGTTGTTCGAAAGAAATAAATTATTTTGAATACAATTTTAATTAAATTTTTTTGAAATAATTCAATTATTCTTTTAGAATTGAAAAAAAATTCTTCCCAAGAATTCAATTATTTACACAAATAATTCTTCCAAAAAATTTAATTATGTCAATAAATAATAAAAAATAATTCCCAAAAATTCAATTATTTTGTGTCATTTTAATAAAATTGTTTGCAAAATTCAATTATTTTCATAAATAACAAAAGTTTTCACTGAAATTCAATTCTTTTTAAACATTTTAATAAATTTTTCGCAATAATTCAATTATTTTTGAAAATTTTAATAAAATTCATCGCAGAATTTCAATTATTTTTAATACAATTTTACAGAAATTGCTCAAGAAAATGTAATTATTTAAAAAAAAATTAATTTCAATTTCTCCAAAAAATCAATTATTTAAAAATGTGTTTATTTTAATTTCTTTGGAAGAATTTAATTATTAACAAAAATATTAGAATTTTTTTTTAGAGAAATTCAATTATTTTCAAATATTCTAATAAAATTGTTTCAAGAAAATCAATTATTTAAAATACAACTTTAAATACATTTTTTTAAAATAATTAAATTATTCTTTTAGAATTTAATAAAATTCTTCCCAAGAATTCAATTATTTACATAACTAATTCTTCGAAAGAATTCAATTATTAAAGATAAATAACAAAATTTTTCACAAAAATTCAATTATTTTGAGGCATTTTATTAAAATTTTTTGCAAAATTCAATTATTTTCATAAATAACAAAAGTTTTCACTGAAATTCAATTCTTCTTAAACATTTTAATAAATTGTTTAGCAATAATTCAATTATTTTCATAAATATAATAATACATTAGAATATTTTTAAGAAACTAAAACTGTAAGAAATTATTTAAAAATATTTTTAAAAAATTAATTTTAAGAGTTTCTTATTTCTTTATTATAATTTTTTAAAAAATATTATACCTTAGTAACTTTAAAAAAAACGTAGACAATAATTACAGTTACAATATAAAATTTTTGTTACAACACTGAATTAGATAAATGGCATTATTTTCTATTTTTAAGCAACTAAAGCAACATTTTTTGTGTCTTAAAGTCGATCCGATGCCTGAAAATCTAAATTGTATATAAAAAAAATTTCTTATAAATCAAATATATTCTGAACATCCTTCTCACTGTTTGTTAATTTTAAAGTATATTAAATTGAAAAAAAATGGCCTAAAATCTTATTTTATTATTATTAATTATTTTTTCAGAACTGTTTAAACTTCAATTGTTCCATAATTGATTCGCATTTGCGGCAATTATAGAATAAATTGTTATATTTTACTTATAAAAACAATAAGTTTTAATGCTCCTGGAAAGGGAGGAGGAAATATTCAGAAACCAGATCTTCTTAAAAATTTTTAGGAACGCTGATTAACTATATTTTGTAAATAAATATCTTTGGATGGTTAAAAAATTTTGAAACAGTATAATATGGTATATCAAACGTAAAACTTTATATATTATTATTATTATTACAACTATACTTCCGCAATAAAGTTGTTCCGTTTTCTCAGTATATATAAAAAGAATTTTATAGAAGTATAAAAAATATTTTAGTCTTTTTTTTCGTAAATTAACAATTTTTCTCTAAATTGAACATTTAGATATTAAAAGAAAAAAATGATATGAAAACCAATTACGTGTTATTTTTTTTACATTGTCCATTAGAACACTACATTATGAGGTCGTTTCTTTTTTAAAAAACTATCGTACAACTTTAACACGAAACTATTACTTACGCTAATCTTTGTATAGTAATATAGATACTATCGTAGTTTTGATGATATTTAAAAAAAAAGACGTTTTCTTTATAATCTTTCCTCCGATTTTCCTATGACTTTTGCTTCTCGGTGAAGCACATCTCCATCGTTATTCCCGAACTTGGACTGCTGCGACGAAATCTACAGGAATCATTATTTTCTCGTGGCTTACGTCTACTGAGATGCCTCTCGACCCATTTCAGCATTGTCAGAACAGAATCTGTACTGGGTAGACGGCGTTCTGCCGATGTGCGAATTATGTGCGAAGAAGCGACGCGGAACGTGGCTGCCATACCTTTCAATGCCTGGAATTTTGCATTAATAACGAAATATTAAAAATATGTTATGGCCAAACAAAAATTTACTCCAGAATCTATGTAAGGGTTCTGGTAGCATGTGGACAAACGAAAAAATTCAAATGCAAGATGCGTCTGAATTTTTTTCCACATGCTACCAGAACCTCTGCAGGATCTTTAGGTCCGAATTACAGAAACAAAATTTGGATTTGGATTTTAAGTGACTACTCACTCTCATAGCATCCTCATCAGTAACATCATCTCCGGCATAAATAATTCGAATCCTCTCACTCCAATCGAGACCAAAAGCAGTGCGGAGAATATAAATAGAAGCACGACCCTTGTTCCATTCAACGGGTGGTTTAGCCTCAATCGCACAGTGCGCCGAACAAGCCTTGAATCCAACATTTTCTATCAGCTTCTTAACACTTTCGATCATTTCCGACCGTCCCTCCATTGGCGTCTCACGATAGTGGAAAGTCAACAGAGCTCCTTTATTCTCCACCCAAGCTCCGTCTTTGCACAACTGAAATTAATTCCCATCATAGTATCCACATCATACATTACAATAATAATTGGTAGGAAACATTTATTTATTGGAAAATGTTCTGTCTACCTGATCCTGTAGAGCCTGCATCAATCCAGCAACTTTTCCCTCATATTCCGCAGGCATCGGATGAACAAATTTACTCCCATCTGGATGTAAAATCTCCAAACCATGATTACCGGCATATGTGATACCATCAATTCCAACCATACTTTTTACATTATTTACATTTCTACCCGATATGATTGCAATGTAGACATCAGGCATATTCGATAGTCTTTGTAGAACATTTTTCGTTTCTAAAGGAAGAGTCGCCAGATCCGGATGCGTTGCAATTGGAGCAAGAGTTCCGTCGTAGTCCAAGAGAAGGGCTAATTTGTGATCGTCGCCAATGTACCTAGGGGACATACGCCATTCATTTGATCGTTACCCGGCTTTCATCATGAGTTAGGTCGCAATCGCTCGCGCGGGGCCCGCCTGCTTCCGAAAGCTTTATTTATTTTCTGATTTTTTACTATCATGGTTAAGGATTAATAATAAATCCCAGTTAATTTAATGTAATTCCTTTTTTACGCTTTACAATAATACATTCTTTAAAAATGTCTGCTTTTTCGATACCAATTCGTACCCAATTTTCGATACCCAAAAATTTAACACCCAATTGCTTATAAGCTTTCTGTGCACAATATTTATTGCATGCAGTATGTCTGCACCCACGAGGCGACGTACCCAAACTCATGCTTATAGAGAAATATCTAAAAACATGACCAAAGACAATAAGTTTTGAAACCAGAGAAAATGTATCCAGGGTGTTGCAAACAAATCCCTGAAATATTTAAGAATGTTTTGCCAAACCCTGGATAATTTTTCTATAAAACCGTCCTAAAGTGGTAGCACATGCACTGGTCGGGCCCAGACATGCACAATCATTTAATATAATAATGCCTACTTGCTCAAATAGTCATCAAAGTCATCCATCGTCACTGGCTGCATCGTAGTGGCACCAACCGAATCTCTCTCTTCAAGTGAACCCATTACCTGTAGAAAAGACTTCATCCAGTGATTCACATCATAAATTCTCTCTCTCCGACGAAGGTGATTCATTCGCAAAGTTCTCTCGTCTTCAGGCATCGTCAAAGCTCTAAAACGTTAAGTCACACATTAGTACAATTAATACAATTCGTTTTCAATTCCAGCCAATTGAAAATATTTCAATTCACTAAAAAGTTTTCAATTCGCTAAAAATGGAAAGAAACTGTTGTTTCTACAGACCTATGAATTACTTCGGCCGCTTCGTCAATTTCGTAAGGATTACAAATTAGTGCCTCGTGCATCATTTCTCCAGCACCGGCGAATGGGGAGACTATTAAAACACCCGGTGGCTTATTTATTTGACAGGCAACAAATTCTTTGGCGACTAAATTCATTCCGTCTCTTAAGGGAGTAACTAAAGCCACAGCTGCATCGCGATAAAACGCAGCCAATTCGTCCTGACTAACACAACCGTAAATATAGCGAATTGGCGACCAATTCGGAGTTGTGAAACGACCATTTATACAGCCGATTAATTGATCCATTTCCAGTTTTAAGTCTTGGTATTCGCGAACATCTGTTCGGGATGGTACGGCTATTTGCAGCATGGTCACCTTTAAAACAAAATCAAATTAGGGACTAGACACTATAAAACATGTTCGGTCCAAAAATAGAATACTGTTAGAATACTGAAGTTCTAAAACTCTTCAAGAACCAACCTGTTCTCTGTGCTCCGGATGCTTTTCCAAAAGCATTTCAAATGCCTTTAGTCTATGAACGAGACCTTTGGTATAATCAAGACGATCCACTCCGAGAACAACTTTCTGATTCGTCAGCATAACTTTCGGTGCAGTTTCCGCAAGGGTAACAAATCTGTCGAATGGTATTCCAATAGGAAGTGGACGAACTCGAACAGTACGACCACCATGTTCAACGAGGAGATTTTTACGATCTACCCTACCACCCAAACTTCTTTGACAGCAATCGACGAAATTTAAACAGTAGTCCTGAATGTGAAATCCAACCATATCACAACCTGAAACAATTTATACCAAGTTATTATCCGCAGAAGGTTAAACCATTCAAACCATTCAAATCAGCAGAGGTTTAATCTTATTTCTTGTTTCTATATGATAAAATACAACAAATAAGATTAAACCTCTGGTGATGCTGACTCTGGTGATGCAGAGGTTTAATCTTATTTGTTGCTTTAGGCTAAATTCTGATTGAACTGATAAAATACCTAGCATGCCCTGAAGTATTTCATCGGCCCAGGGAAATAATCGAAATATATCCCAAGGTGGGAATGGAATATGCAAAAAGAAACCCAATTTTAATTTGAGTTTCTTTTCATCAGCCGCTTGTCGTATCCAATTGGCTGCGAGCATAAGGTGATAATCGTGTACCCAAACCAGAGGTGTCCCATTACTTTTTCCCTTTTGTTCCTTGTGTATAAGTTCCAAAGCTTGGACCTAAAAAAAATTTTTATGGATAAGCGGACATTAGATACTAAATTCTATCTCTAAGTCATTGGTCTCTATTTTTCTAGTCTTGACTTACGGTTTTTGCAGCAAATTCCTCATTGACTGTGCAATAAGCACGCCAATGATCTGCGATAAATGTTGCTCTATCAGGCATAGAATGAAATAGAGGCCAGAATGTTCCATTACAACAACCATTGTAATAAGAGTCGAAAATTCCAGCTTCGACATGTACGGCCACTACCTAGAATATATAACAAGTTTGACAAAAAGCACTGGAATCTCAATTCTAATTCTAATTGCAAAACTAATTTTTTCTGCTAGGCTAGGACATTCATTTCTCAAATGCTACCAAAGAATTAAACATTGCGGTTCATTTATAATTCATATAATTAAAGAAGATTCAATTAAGCTAATAAACTAAGCATCTTTCGAGAAAATTGCTAAGGAATCAAAATTGGAGCATTAACTTTATGGTATAATTTCATTAAGGTAGAATTTCATTTCATAAGAGAAATTGAAAACTAATGTATGTGTTAAGCTTGATCCAGTTGTATCCTGATCTAAGCAGACAAACTGGATTACACAAGCTAATCTATTTCAAAAGATGTACTTTGAAACAAAAAGATAACTGCAAATGCTCTGTTGAATTTACAATTTTTAAAAACAGTTTTTCAATATGTTTTTGTGTATACTATATTTCATAGTTGAATTATTGTATTCTATTGGACACAAAGTGCAGGAAAGTTAATATTTTTCGGCAGGAAAGTAATCATCAGTCATCATATGCTCTTCGAATAATTGTTATATAAGCATCAAATCGCACTTTTGCTGCGTCTAAATAGTATCCGCATTTTCCGTAAGGTCAATATTTGTTTATATAATCTAAGTGAACTTGGACTTTACGGAAAATGCAACTACTATTAGGTGTTTACTCTGGACAACAAACAGACTTTTGGATGTTTAGTTTCTTTTTTGCGACACTAACTTTTCGAGAAAGCAGACCAGCTGTTGGTGTTCTGTCATTTGGATCAGACTCTGGAATTGGTTCGTTTGGATCTTCCATGTGCATTCCAGGCCATCCTACCCATACGCCATTACCATTGATAACCACAGGTGCCACTGCAGTAACAAGACCACCAGCACTAGAAAGAAATGTTTTTTATTTCGAAATTATAGTACAAGTGGTTCTTCGTTCCTTTATTTTTCTTATTTCTTATTCTTTCCTCATAAACTTAAATATGCAACGCATACTAATTATTTATTTACTGAAAAGATGTTAAACACTTTTTTAATTCTTCTGATCATAATATATTTTTATTTACTTGTGACTATAAAAAATTATTTGAATGAATCTCGGCACATGATTGATTGTAATGCTCTGATGAGGCTCTATATACGTAATGCGGAGTAAAAGCTCAGTAAATAAAAATGTATTATGATCTCACTAATTATAAATTGACAGATCAGAACCTTTCACATCTTTTATTAAAAAATTATTTGTTTATGCATAAAAGATTTTTAAGCATTCCTACTTGTAAAACAATTATCAAAATTTTAAATTTTTTTAATTTTCTAACGTTTTACCGGGTCAGTAAAAAATAAAAATACTCAGTTGAAGATATAATTTAGTCCTTGAAGTGCAAATACATGTATAGTAAGGTTTATACAATGTTTTTTGTTATCATTTGATAAAATTGAGTAAATTTCAAAATTTATCACTTTTTGCCCTTCATCCCAATTTTACCGAACTAAATTCAGTGAAATATAACTTTCTCCCTGTATATCAACAATATTATCAAAGATTTGTCAAACATCAGCTGTTTAAAATTTAAAAACATTTGCCATATGTGTTTTTAAAATATATAAAGTTAAACTTTTAATTTTGCGGAATGACCTAGTTTGTAAATCCAATGACTTTAGTTGTCATCCTTTGTCTGTGATAAGATGACTGAGAATGTCGTACATACCAAATAACTTTGTTTTGTTCTTAATTCATGCTTAATCAATACTACACGTTAAACAGATAACCTTTATGACCGATCACTCCCCTACCCTTCATTTGATATCCATTTAAATGTTTTTTTTTTATATTTTTAGAGTATATACCGTATTTTATATGTATATTTATCTATTTGAAGATTTAATTTCTCTTTCAATTTTCTTTTATTTTCATTAAAGTTTTCAACTCATATATAAAGATATGTTGATATGTTTGAAATTCATTGCATTTTTTATTAAAGATTAAAGTTTTCAGCTCAATAAGCAAGCTTCACAGTGCCCCTAAAAAGTATTTTAGGGAAAATAGGGGATTGAAAATTTACAAATAGGGGACACTTTTAGAGGACCATAAAAATTGGTTAAATAAAGATGAAAATATAATTTTTTATACAGGGTTGCCACAAAAATTTAACTTTATTTTTCCCTCACTTTTTTTCTATTTTTTTTATTTTATTTTCTATTTTTTCTATTTTTCCCTGATTTCCAAACACAACTTATTTAACTTTTTTCCTGACCCTAAAGAATATTCAGAATTTCAGATTCACTCTCAAAATTATTAGATACTTAAAAAAAGTTCTATTAAATTTATTTACTAATTTCTTCAAAAGGAAAATTATTCCAAAACATCAATAGTTTTATTTAAAATAAATATTTAATCATTTTTTTTTTTTTCATTGAAATTAAGATGTTCAAAAATTTCAAATTCAAACCTTTTCAAATTGAACAACTCTAAAAATTTTTATTATAAAACAAAGAAATAGATCACTCCGAGTCTTCGACTCGGAGTAATCAATTTCTTTATGTTTTATAATAATTAAAGATGACCGACTGACAAAATAATTATTTTATTATATAAGAATATTGTTACTGTAATTTCTTCAAAATTATTTCTATCATTTCAATTCAATTAACATTTTCTAGAATTTTTAACTAAAGTTCTACTTCAAATCAATAACATCAAATATTATTCAATTAAACTTTTTCAAAAAAAATTAATTCTACAAAATTGTCAGTTAAAAGTACGAAAAACAATCATTTAATTCTACGAGAAATCAATTATTTAAATACAAAAATAAATAATATTGAATGTTTCTTAAAATTTAATTTTTACGAAAAATTGTATTAACAACTTTTGAAAATATTTAATTTCTTTTAAGGAATTTAATTAAAATTTTAATAAAATTTTATTATATTAAAGAATTTTATAACAATTTTAGAAAATAATTTGAAAACTTTTTAAAGAATTTTATTAAGTTTTTTAAAAATAATTGAATTCCTGAGAATAATTTAAATACTATTTTTTGAAAACAATTCAATTCATGAGAAGAATTTTTAAAAAATTTTGAAAATAATTGACTTTTTGAGAAAAATTTAAAACAAATTTTTGACAATAATTTAATTCTTGAGAAGAATTTCCCTATCTATTTATAAAGATAATTTAATTCTTGACGAGAATTTTTCAAAAATTTTGAAAATTTAATTCACATTTTTCTAAGATATTGAAATTATCAAAAAAAATTTATTTTTTTTTGTAAATAATTGAATTCTTTCAACGAATTTAATTAAAATTTTTTTTTAGTAATTGAATTTCTAGAAAAAAAATTATTTTTTGTGAAAATAATTGAATTTTTGTAACCAATTTAATTAATATTTTTTTAAATAATTGAATTTCTGGGGAAAAATTGTATTATTTTTGAGAACAAATGAATGCTTGCAAAGAATTTTATTAAATTTTTTTTCTAATTACTTGAATCCCTTTGGCAAAATTTTATTATTCTTGAAAATAATTAAATTTTTATAAGAAATTTTTTTAAACGTTATTTTAAATAATTGAATTTTTTTGAAATATTTTATTAATTTTCAAAGTAATTCAACTATTGTAAGAAATTTGTTAAACGTTTTTTTTTAAATAATTGGATTTCTATAAAAGAATTTATTATTTGTGAAAACAATTGAATTCTTGCAAAGAATTTTATTCAATTTTTTTAAACAATTGAATCCTTTGGAAAAAGTGTTATTATTTGTGAAAATAATTGAATTCTTGCAAAGAATTTTTTTAAAAATTGTTGAAATAATTGAATTTCTGTGAAAGATTTTATTATTTCTGAAAACAATTGAGTTCTTGCAAAGAATTTTATTAAATTCTTTTTTCAAATAATTGAATCCCTTGGGAAAAATGTTATTATTTGTGAAAATAATTGAATTTTTGCAACATATTTTTTAAACATTTTTTTAAATAATTGAATTCTTTGGAAAAATTTTATTATTCGTAAGAATAATTGAATTCCTGAGAAGAATTTAAATAATAATTTTTGAAAACATTTGAATTCATGAGAAGAATTTTATTAAAATTGTTGAATATAATTGACTTCTTGAGAAGAATTTAAAAACAATTTTTGACAATAATTTAATTTTTGAGAAGAATTTCCCCATCTATTTATAAAGATAATTGAATTCTTGACGAGAATTTTTAAAAAATTTTGGAAATAATTTAATTTCTGCAAAGTATTTTATTACTTTTCAAAAGAATTGAATTCTTGTCATGAATTTTGATATTTATCAAAATAATTGAATTTTGGAAAAGAATTTTATTAAAATTCCTTAGAATAATTGATTTCATGGGAAGAATTTATGCGATTTTGTTGTTTATCAAGATAATTGAATTCTTTTGCAAAATTACTTAAAAATTTTTGAAAATAATTAATTTTCTGCGACGATTTAAATGTTATTTATGAAAATATTTGAATTATTGCAACGAATTTTATTGTTTTATTGAATAATTGAATGTTTCTTAAAATTAAATTCTTTCCTCAAGTTTTAATAAAATTTTTAATAATAATTGCATTTTTCAAGGAATTTATTTAAAATTTGTATTAAAAATATTTGAAATTCTGCGATGAAAATGATTGGATTCGTAAATGAAATTTTATTATTTATCAAAATAATTGAATCTTTTCGTATAGAATTGTATCAAAAAGTTTTTTCTATAATTAAATCTGTTGATAAATTTTATGAAAATAGTAAATATTGAAAATTATTAAATTGCAAAAAACTTTTGAAAGTAATTGAACTTTTGCTAAGATTTTTATAAATTTTTGAAAATAATTGAATTTTCGGCAAATAATTTTGCTATTTGTAAAGAGAATTGAATTCTTGACGAGATATTCGTGAAAATTTAAAAAAATAATTGAATTTCTTTGAAGAATTTTATGACTTTTGAAAATAATTGAATTCTTGGGATGAATATTGTCTTTTAAAAATAATGTAGATAAGAATTTAAAATACAGCCAACTTCTAAACATAATTGAGACTTGACTTCATCAAAATACTAATCTTACAAATTTTATAAATTTAGTGAAATTTGAAGCTGTATGTACCAGATAAAGATTTTTTTCATGAGGTATAAAAATTATAAAAGCAGGAAAAATGAAATGAATTTCTAAATTCTTCTCTCATTCAATACATATATATATATATATATATATATATATATATATATATATATATATATATATATTTATTAGTTCATTTAATTTTGAGATATACGACAAGAACGACGCGATGATGATGACACAGACACAATAAAGATTATCATTCAATAATTCACAAGATCACGAGTTTCCTTTTTAACAATCATATTTGTTTGCCAATAAATATGTATATATATATATGGATAATTCTTCACTCAGTTTTCACTCAGATTCTTCACTTTAGATTCCCCACTCTTTCCTATATTTAATAACTTTAAAAATTATTTTCAAATCTATTTCAAACTTTTCATTAAAAATCTTCACTGTTTTTTTTTTTAGTAATAGCATTAATCGAACAAAATTTCTTTTTTTAGTTATGATTTAATTGGAAAAGGCTCAAAAAATGACTTTTCTTGATTTTCCTCACATCAAGTTTAATATGCTTTTACAACTTTAATGATTTTTTTTTCTTATTTGTATACCTAATTTCGATTTGCGTAATGGAAATGTTTTGTTTTTATGAAAAAAAAATGTTATTAACCTTCAACAAAACGTGTTATATCAATAACAGGTGTGTAGTAAAAATAAGTTTTTATTTATTATAATTAAAGTAATTACGAATAAAAGATAATTCTTTTTCGTTAACACATATTTATTATAATTTGCAATTAGATGTGATTTTTTTAAATTCTGTGCTATTTTCTATAAAAGTGTTTGCTTATTTAAAAAATTATTTTTCTACATAAAAAATTTTTAAAAAAAATTAATTAAAAAAAATGTTATATAGTCAAAAGTTAGCACTTCGTGGAGAATCACCCATATATATATACATATGTGTTGTAATCATTAAATATGTTTGATGATAACCTAACACTCCTATGATGCACTCACAGTATATTATAAACATTTTTTTTTAAATAATTAATTTCTTATAAAACAAACTTTATGAAAATTCTATTTTTTTTTTTGTTTAAATAATTATATGAATATTTTCGTGTATTGTGCGAAAATATTCAAATAAAGATTGATAAACAAACATGAAAATTTAATTCATTGAAAGAATTTCAATAAAATTTTTAAGAATAATTGTATTTTTTGAGAAATTCATTTAAAATTCTATTAAAAATAATTGAAATGAGGCGAAGAATTTAATTAACATTTTTTTAAATAACTGAATTTCTAGGAAAAAAATTTATTATTTTTGAAAATAATTGAATTTTTGTAAAAAAATTGTTTAAATTTTTTTTTAAATAATTGAATCCCTTTGGGGAAAATTTTATTATTTGTAAAAATAATTGAATTTTTGTAAGGAATTTAATTGACAATTTTTTAAATAATTGAATTTCTAGAAAAAAATTTTATTATCTTTAAAAAAGATTTTTTTTAAAAATAATTTAATTTCTCATGAAAAATTTTTTATTACATGTGAAAAAATTGAATTCTTTTATCTAATTAAATTAACGTTTTTTAAATAATTGAATGTCTAGTAACAATTATTATATTATTTGTGAGAATAATTGAATTCTTGCAAAGTATTTCATTAAATTTTTTTTAAATAATTGAATCTCTTGGGAAAGATGTTATTATTTCTATAAAAATAATTGAACTTTTATAACAAATTAAATTAACATTTTTTTAAATACTCTTGTAACAAAATTTTTTTAAACGTTTTTTTAATTTTTAATAATTGAATTTCTATGATAGAATTTATTATTTGTGAAAACAATTGATTTCTTGCAAGGAATTTTATTCAATTTTTTTTAAATAATTGAATTCTTTTTGAAAAATGTTATTATTTGTAAAAATAATTGAATTTTTGCAACGAATTTAATTAACAATTTTTTAAATAAATGAATTTCTAGGAAAAATTGTATTATTTGTGAAAATAATTGAATTTTTGCAACGAATTTAATTAACATTTTTTTTTTATATATATAATTTATTGAATTCTTTGGAAAAGTTTTATTATTTGTAAAAATAATCGAACTCTTATAACAAATTTGTTAAACGTTTTTTTTTTATTGATTGAAGGTTCTATGATATTTTCAGAAAAAAATTGTGAAATAACCGATTACTTGTCCTTTACCAAATAAATATTGACTTGAATCAAATAATTTTTATCTAAATCAATTAAATGGTATATATTTGCTTTAAGAGTGCAGATTTTATTGGTTTAAATACAATTTATTTAATTTTTAATCACAATTTTTTTAATTTTTAATAAAAATTGTTTGATTCAAGTAAATATTTATTTGATGACAAGTATAATCGGTTATATTTGAGTCAAATAAACTTGTTTCTTCTGGTTTGAATTGAACACAAAAGTTTTTAGTTTAAACGAATTTTTTCAATGGTATAATTAGTGATAAAATTAAATGCAATAACTAAAGAAAACCGCGCAAGGTTTTTTCTCTATCGAATGAAGTGAGGAATATGAAGAATTAAAAGTGTTAATTATTTATATATAGTGCACACGTGTATTGCGAATATACTAATAAAGTAACTTGTTAAAAATAGTAAGTTGTAGTACCAACCTGGCCTTGCGTTCCAACTTCCCTGTTGATTCATTTCTTTTTAAAACGAAAGGTAACCTGTTGCTGACGACAATCATGCTGCCATTAGATGAAAAGCTACCTGGCTCTGTAGACATTATACTGACTTGTTAAACAAATTGTTTTGCTTAAATTTTACAATAGTAATGTTACTTTAAAAAGTAAATTATTATCGCCCTCTAATCCCTTCATTAACCACTTATTGCTGATGTCGTTGCCGTTAGTTGGAGAACGTTTCCATTGGACCAATCTTTTGCTTCTTTAGAATTAAAGTACTTGTTTAAATATTTAAATGATAGAGTTCAAAATTGTTAACAAGTTCCAAATTATTATTATTATTGAAAAATAAGATTAAAAATTCGTTTGGCTCTCTTCTTTCTTTCTGACTTTTTGAACCTTAACCACTGTTTTAGGTTTTGTTTTTAGTTTGTTAAAAATCCATAATTTCTTATGTATGGAGGATTAAAAAAAAACAGAGTAGGTATTGCAGTGTGGTGCAAAGCTAAAGTGGCACTGAAGTTAGAAGCTTCAGTCCTGTCGATTTGTTAGACTTAAGTTCTGAGACCTATTGCGGTCCAAAGTGCGGCCTTTGCGGTCCCACAATCATTGGAGGGCCGCGACCTCTGAGAATGAGAAACGCGGTTCCATGTAGGTCTGTTAAAGGTTATCTTATTCCTTATCAATGTATAGTAAAGTTGTTGTTGTTCCCCACCCCTACCACGACTTACCCCAAGCATATGTATATGTACTTCTAATTCTAATTTACACCCAGGAAGGATTAAAGGAGCATTTTTATTTATTCCATCTTTTTACCCCTATATACTGTCTTAGCAGGGTTGCCACGCTTTTACTCATTTCAAATTCCCTGACTTTTCCAGGTTTTCCAGGTTAAAAAACGGAATTTTTCCAGGTTTTTAAAATTCTACATTTATATTTTTACAAAATTTTTAATTCAAACCTTTTTTGAAATTAAACATGTTATAAAACATGAAAATATCGATCACTCCGAGTCTTCGACTCGGAGCAATCGATATCTTCATGTTTTATAAGAATTAAAAATGTTGGACTGATAAAATCATCATTTTATACCTATTATAAGAATATTGTTACTGTAACTTATTCAAAATTACTTTCATTATTTTAATTCAATTATTCTTTTCCAGAATTTTTAACTAAAATTCTTCTTTATAAAGTGTAAATTAATTATTATTAATAATTTCTGAAAAATTTCTTTCAACATTTTCAAATCCTTTTGTTTACAATTCAATTTAACGAAATTTCATCGATTATTCAGGTATTCGGAAATTCTTCAATCAAATATATATTAGAAAATAAAAACTTTAAATAACTTCAAAAAAATTCAATTCAACTTTTACGAAAAACTTAAATCTACACAATTTTAAGTTAAAAGTATGAAAAATTCAAACATTCAAGGATTATAAATTGAGACCTGCTTTTCAAAACTCAATTATTATCTAAAGTTTTAACTGAAATTCATATTTGAATCAATTATTATTAGAAAATTCTACGACAATTCAATTATTTAAATACAAAAAAAAATAATTTATTGAAGAATTGAATGTTTTTTAAAATTCAACTCTTATTTAAAGAATTTTATCAACAAATTTTTAAATAGGTAATTAAAATTTTTTTGACGAATTTCAATAAAATTTTTAAGAATAGTTTCATTTTTCGAGAAATTAGATTAGAAATGTATTAAAAATAATTGAATCTCTGCAAAAAAAATTTCATTGAATTGAGAAAAGTTTTTGAAAATAATTGAAATTTTGTCAAGAATTTTATAAAAATTTTTTTAAACAATTAAAATATTGCCAAGAATTTTATTAAAATTTTTGAAAATAATTGAATTTTAGAGAAAAATTTTAATTTTTATAAAAATAATTGAAATTTTGACTATAACTTTTTTAAAACTTTTGACCATAATTGAATTTCTGCTAAGAATTTTATTACTTTTGATAATAATTGAAAATAATTGAATTCTTTATTAGACGAATTTTTTAATAATATTTCTTTTTAAATACCTAATTATTTTTAATACAAAAATAAATAATTTATTAAATAATTGAATGTTTCTCAAAATTGAATTCTCATAAAGAATTTTATTAACAAATTTTTAAATAATTGCATTATTTTGCATTATTTTGAAAATAATTGAATTTTAGAGAAAAATTTTAATTTTTATAAAAATAATTGAAATTTTGACTATAAATTTTATTAAACTTTTGACCATAATTGAATTTCAGCTAAGAATTTTATTACTTTTGAAAATAATTGAAAATAATTGAATTCTTTATTAGACGAATTTTTTAATAATATTTCTTTTTAAATACCTAATTATTTTTAATACAAAAATAAATAATTTATTAAATAATTGAATGTTTCTCAAAATTGAATTCTCATAAAGAATTTTATTAACAAATTTTTAAATAATTGCATTATTTTGCATTATTTTGAAAATAATTGAATTTTGGAGAAAAATTTTAATATTTTATAAAGATAATTGAAATTTTGACGATGAATTTTTTAAACTTTTGACCATAATTTTAATTTCTGCGAAGAATTTTATTACTTTTGAAAATAATTACATTATTTTGACGAATTTTAATAAAATTTTAAGAATAATTACATTTTTCGAGGAATTCGATTAAAATAATTGTATCAAAAATAATTGAAATTCTGCTATGAGTTTTATTATCTATGAAAATAATAATTGAATCCCTGTAAAAAATTGTATTACATATTCATAAAAATAATTGAATCTCTGTAAACATAAATTGAATATTTTTGAAAATAATAGAATTATCGCGAAGAAATTTATAAAAAAATTTTAAAATAATTCATTTCTTTTGAGAAATTTTATTAAAATAGTTGATATTAAAACTCATTGACTGGAGGAGAAATTTTGAAAAAAATTGAATTTATTAAAAAGAATTGTATTAAAATTTTTGAAAATAATTAAATTTTGGAGAAAAATTTTAATATATTTATAAAGATAATTGAAATTTTGACGATGATTTTTTTAAACTTTTGACCATAATTGAATTTCTTCGAAGAATTTTATTATTTTTGAAAATAATTGAAAATAATTGAAAATAATTGAATTCTTTAGACGAATTTTTTAATAATATTACTTTTTAAATACCTAATTATTTTTAATACAAAAATAAATAATTTATTGAATAATTGAATGTTTCTCAAAATTTAATTCTCATAAAGAATTTTATTAACAAATTTTTAAATAATTGAATTCTTTTGACGAATTTTAATAAAATTTTAAGAATAATTATACATTTTTCGAGAAATTCCATTAAAATTGTATAAAAAATAATTGAAATTCTGCAATGAGTTTTATTATTTATGAAAATAATAATTGAATCCCTGTAAAAAATTGTATTGCATATTTATAAAAATAATTGAATCTCTGTAAACATAAATTGAATATTTTTGAAAATAATAGAATTTTTGCGAAGAAATTTATAAAAAAAATTTTAAATAATTAATTTCTTTTGGAAAATTTTATTAAAATAGTAGATATTAAAAATCATTGACTGGAGGAGCATTTTTGAAAAAGAAATTGAATTTGTTAAAAAGAATTTCATTAAATTTTTTGAAAATAATTGAATTTTGGAGAAAAATTTTAATATTTATAAAGATAATTGAAATTTTGACGATAAATTTTTTAAACTTTTGACCATAATTGAATTTCTGCGAAGAATTTTATTACTTTTGAAAATAATTGAATTTCTTTAATGAATTTGAATAAAATTTTTAAAAATAATTATACATTTTTTGAGAAATTCCATTAAAATTGTATTGAAAATAATTGAAATTTTGCGATGATTTTTATTATTTATAAAAATAATTGTAAATCTATAAATTTTTTTATTATTTATGAAAATAATTGAATTATTGAGAAGAAAAATAATTGTAAAGGCAACTCTTTTAAAATTGAATTAAAAAATTTGAATTAAGAAAATTGAATTAAAGAAAAATTAAATTTCAAGAATAAGCACAATGACTTTAGAAAACAATAATTTTTCAGGATTCCAATCCAAATTCCCTGACTTTTACAGGTTTTCCAGGTTTCCAGGTTGCGTGGCAACCCTGCTGCCATATAAATCGCATATCAACGACTATCTTTCATTTTGTAATAAAGATTTCAAATTTTCAATTAATTTAGCACAACTATCGTGATCAGTTGGAAAATAAAATCTATCTTCAAAAGCTTAAGAAACGTTTCATATTTTATTACCTGTGAAGTTTTAAAAGCTTGGTTTTAATTATATGCGATAAGATAAAGTTGCGGATTTACAAGAAATCGAAGAAATTCTAAAATGAATTATTTCTATTTTGCACAGATAAATTTAAACACCAGTGTTATAACTTAAAATTATCAAATTGCATCGAATTGATATCAAAAAAATGTGGATCAAATAAAAAATTAATCTAAATTTTTCGCATCAATTTAATCCACTTTAGCATCAAGTTGATAGTTTCAAGAAAACTCTGTGAAACTTTTTTCACAATTTACTTTCTTTTAATTAATTAAAATCTTATAAAATAAATAAATAAATAAATCTTATAAAAATTTATCTAAAAATTTTGCATCAGTTTAATTCACTTTAGTATCAAGGTGATAGTTTCAAGAAAACTGTGAAAATAATTGAATATCTGGGCAAAAAATTTTAATACTTGTTAAAATAATTGAATTCTAGCAACGAATTTAATTAAAATTTTATTAAGAAATTGAATTTCTAGAAACAAATTTATTTTTTGTGAAAAAAATTGAATTTTTGGAACCAATTTAATTAACATTTTTTTTAAATAATTGAATTTCAGGGGAAAAATTTTAATATGTTTCAAAATAATTGAATTCATTGTAACAAATTGTTTAAACATTTTTGAAAATAATTGAAACCCTTGGAAAAATTGTATTATTTGTGAAAATAATTGAATTCTTGCAAAGCATTTAATTGTTTAAGAAAATAATTGAATTTTTGCAAGGAATTTAATTAACAATTTTTTAAATAATTGAATTTCTAGGAAAAATTTCATTACTTTTGAAAATAATTGAATTTTTTCGAATAATTTTATTGAAATTTCTTTTAAATTATTGAATATTTTCGTTAAATTTTATAAAAATTTTAGATTTTAAGAATATTTGAATTTTAAGAAAGGAATTCATGATTGGAAAAATTAATTGAATTCATATATATAGTATTTTATCAAAATTTTTATAAAAATTAAATTCATTTAAAGAATTTTAATAAAATTATTTAAAAATAATTGCAGTTTGCAAGGAATTCATTTAAAATTATATTAAGAATTATTAAAATCCTGCGAAGAATTTACTTATTTAAGAAAATAATTGAATACTTGCCATGAATTTATTAACATTTTTTTAAATAATTGAATTCCTAGGAAAAATTGTATTATTGGTGAAAATAATTGAATTCTTGCATAGAATGTTATTTACTTAAAAAAACAATTGAATTCTTGTAACAATCTGTTTAAACATTTTTTAAAATAATTAAAACCTTTGGAAAAATTTTATTATTTGTAAAAATAATTGAATTTTC